GTTTTGCAAAGAAAGGATGAGCACTGTTTTTATTCTTTTTTGTCAAACTAAACGTTTAGCTTGAATCCCAGTCACTCAAACCAACACGACAGAATTTAGTAAACTGAAGTTATCTGCTGGAGAATTTCTCCGTCAGCACTTCATTTCCTAAAACACGGCTTCCCTAAAAGACGGCTTTGCTTTCCAGCACGAAATTCGTGCAAATGTCCATTCAGTTGCAAAACATTACGACTTCCTTTCCGTACTCGTGTTTCTACTACAGTTGAGGCTCCTCACTAGGAGTGGAGTTGAATGAAGGGGATCGGCAAGATTAACAGACATGATTCCTCCATGGTCAAGGCAGCCCTTGCGTTTGGATTAACTTTTTCGGCACATTGATGACCTCACATTAATATAAATGTGGAGACTGCATGCAGGTCTCCGCAGAGGCGCGGGGCACAGGACGGTGCGTGTTGGTCCCAGCAGCTCTCCTCGCCCACACTTTCAACTCTCGGCTCAGCTGAGTTAAGCTGTGAGATTGAGAAATCTATCGCTGTGGTCGTTGGATGTTTCACATTTAGCAGCCATTCTTAGCAACGTCTCCAGAGGGGTTTGCGAAGCTCATGCCACCCCCAACCCTCCCCAACTGCTCGGCAGCTTGTCCTTGAGGGCCGTCATCCTCCATAATCCCTTTTAGCAAAGCCTCTCACACCAAATGAATTTGTGTCCTTAACCGACGATTTGTCTTTTAGGAAAACTAAAGCAGGTGTACTTGCATGCCGTAAACATGGCTTTGCTTTAATGTGGAGCAAGAAAGAAAATCCCCAAAAGAAGGACACGGTTCAATTGGAAAATCAAACGCAAACATCCGCGCTCTGTTGCTTGGGTTATGCTAAGGATGGCGGTAAATGTGAGGGGGTGAACTGCAACCCAACACCACAAGCCCTAGATCTCATACTCACCTCCTATCCCAGGGCGAAAATTTCTGGCATAGCCTTTCATTAAATCATCCAGGTTAGGTAACCAGGATATTTCAATGTCTGTACCTACATAGTCCCCAATGTCACTCAGCATGGCCCTGAAGAGACAAACAGCAAACACACCAGATTCAGGTTCGAAAGGGAAAAGGTCAAAATATCAGGTGCATTCATGAAAACAGGTCAGAAATAAACACTTCCGGTCCTCAGTCAGGGCATCAATAACACTGAATATTTCACAGGCAGTAAGCGGATTCGGCCAACCCAGGAGCATGTCCGCCGTTCAGCCTCCCTTTGAATGATCATTTGTTTGGGCCTGGGGTGCAACCTGCAGATATCTCCCCTCAACTCCAACCGGTTGAGGAAAGATAAACAAACGGCTGAAAAAAAGGTAAAGCTAATTAAAAAGAACTGCAGGAACATTTCGCCATTAATTGCACTAAAGGTCAAGACATGAGTGGGCATTAGAGGCAGCAAGCTGGAGAGGCTTTGAAAGCAAAGGAAGGCAAAGGTTTAGTACTCCGAGAAACAGTGTGATGACAATGTAATATCATTGTAATGGTGAAAATATGATTAAATATAGAAAGCAATCTAAAAAATCTGGACCATACATACAAAAGTGGGTAAATATTTTTAAATTCCCCCAAAGTGGCTTAAAAAAAAAAAAAGCAAATCAGGACACTATTAGGCTGACTTCTCCATCTTTTCCATCATTACACACACCCAGCACAACACCTTCACTTAAACATCAGTAGTTGCAACAAAAATACTAAATTATAAATGTAAATGCAGGTTTTTAAATGGATTGGACGAATAAGACCGAATGCAGGACTCTGTCCAAATCTCCAATTGTTTGAAGCTACTGCAGTTGGTGCATTATTGAACAAAACAAAAACACAAAGCATTTACACAGAAATAAAAAATCTTCTGTCATTCAGAACTGCAGAACTTATAGAGACTCAGAGCGCTTATGGAGCGTGTTTTTGTGAGAGAGGTGATGCAACACGTATGCCAATCAAATGTGCCCTGGTTTTCAGCATTTCAAATCAATAAAGATCCTTTTTCTTCTGCATTTTATACCCTGCACAGCCTTTAGACATAACTGGCTCAAAGAGTGCAAGATTGAAGGCTATTTAAGCTGATGCTCTCAGCCTCCCAACCAACAGTCTCTGTGCTTCTAGCGAAGCTGGAATAACCTGCAGCTCGTTCACTTTCTGACATCTTTCATCTTCATCGGAGTCCAGCATAAATATTTTCATTACGATAGAAAACCAAATATCAAACTAAAAGTTGTTGTAAAGGACAAAGTGGCTGTAGGGTTTGATGATTCACCATAGAGATAGATTTTTTTTTTTGGTAATATTTGTACAGCTATTTTGACTCTGTCCTCATGTATGTGTGTGAGAGAGTGTGTGCATGTGTGTGTGTGTGTGTGTGTGTGTTTTGTTACAAGACTATGCAGCGTTGATGTGGACAATCTGACTCCACGGAGGATTTCAGGTCTTGGAGGCTTCTACAATGCAGACATAAATTCATGAAGACATAAAAAAAAATTGTAAAATAATTTTTTTCTGTCACTTGGACCCTAATATCATCACCTTCCTAAAATAATGGCCTTTTTTTTTTTTTTTTTTTTTTTTTTTTGCCAAAATGATTTTGGCAAAAATAAAAAGATCACCACCTCTTACTTTCCAAAGATATTTTTTGACAAAAAATGACGTGGGTCATTATTTTAGAAAGGTGACAACCTAATTATAAGAAAAATCAATTAAAAAAAATTTGCGGCTGCTTTTAGTCTCATTCTGTAATAGGAATTAATGTAATCATTTTGTAAAAAAACTGAAAAACTGCCAAAATCTGCATTAAATATTGCATCTTTATCAAAAAGCAATAGTTTGCTTTTCATCACTTTTCCCAAAGTCACAAAGAGCTATTGAGAAATGTCCTAAGATCCAATCCTGGCACCGAAGGTGCCGGTTGGAGAACCCTGCTGCAGATGCTGCATCCTAAAAAAGAATTGTGAAAATCAGGACATTACGCTGGACGACAAACACATTTGTAGTAATTTGGTTTCTAACACACTGTCCGGATACAAGTAGGCTAAATTTTCAGCAGACATTACAGCAGACTTCTGCAGCTTAACAAAGCAATAAAACATTAAAAATATTTAACTTAACTGCATCACGGGGGGAAAAAAAATTTATATCACGATTTGTGTCTGCGTTGATCTTTTGAAACAGCGCAATACCTCATCTTAAGCAATTGAATTTATATCCAAAAGTGCCTGTTTTATGTCTGTTTCTTTTCTCCCTGCATGTGCGTGTCCGTGCCGAGGCTGCTGCAGAAACTGAAGCTTTCAATGCCACACACTCAGACATTAACACAAGCTGTGCCCCTAACGTTTTATCTCCTCTGCAAATGATCCAGAAAGGGACTAAGGGTGAAATTAACATTTTTAAATGGTTCAAAGGCCCCCCCACCCTCCCATGAGGTCCATAAAGGCACACAGTTCTAACAGAGCTGCCAGCATTTCATGTTCACACCTCAAAGCCACTAGGTGGCAGGTTTGTACTCCAAAAGACCAAGAGAGGAAGCATTAAGGACTCTCTCTCTCTCTCTCTGATTGTACTGTTATCACTTATATAAACACTGAGGAATCACATTATATACACAATTCTGTCTTTTTGATGCAAGCAGCCAACAGTTGTGGACTAAATGAATGCAGTGAATACAAGTTTCCCTGACATTTAGAGCCACAAAGGCCAGTCCTGGCATTGTCTTGAAAACAGGCCCCACAGGGGGCGCTTTATCAAAGGTGATCTTATTGACAAACAGTGAAAAGCCATTTGGTGACCTTTAAAATAGCAGTGGACATTTTTAGGGAAGGTGAGAGAAGCGTAAAGCGGCACATAGGGGAGCTAAGCACCACAGAAAGCCCGCAAGAAAACAGAAGCATTGTGGGAAAAATGCTATATCTTTTTGCCTTGTCATTAAGATTTTTCTGAGGCTTCACTCTGTAGTATCAGATATTTATAGCCTGGCAATCAGAGTAAAAACAGGAGCACTCATGAGCTAATTAATCACTCTGTGACTCCTGTTTTTTTTTTGTTGTTTTTTTCCACTAATTGGTTGCTTCTAAATCAGGAAATTAAGAGCTTTTTCTTCAAGAAATTTTCTGCATGCCAAGGTCAAACATGCCTCTGGAAAAAAAGCACTGGGCACTGGAAGCGTGTGTGTGTGTGTGCGTGCGTGCGTGCGTGTGTGTGTGTGCTTCTAAGAGACAAAACATACTGCGACTCCCTGAATTTCACTGAAACCTGCCGCACTGCGATTGGAAACAATATGTTTATTTACAAGAACTTTGGCATTTTATTAAAGCTGTTTATCTTCTACCCTCATCAACTTTACTCGCTGCGGTGTTTTGGAAAAGACTTTGTCACATTGCAGCTGCAACCTTCACTGCATTTTACGAGTAATTTATGTGATAAAGACACAATGCAGGTCATTATCGGGACGTGGAAGAAACGTCTGATGCAGTTTTCAAACATTTTAACAAATAAAAATCTTAAAAGTGCGGCATGCGTTTATGTTAAGTCCCTGTGAGTGAATATGTTGTAGAGCGACCTTTCCCCGAATTACAGTTCCACATCTAAAGCACAGAAATATTTGCCTGTTCAGTCAAAAAGCAAGGAGAGCTTTGCTACGCATCATTTGTAAATATTCCTCTAGATTGACCTGGAGCTGAAACGTAATAATGGTCTGAATGAGCGAGCATGCAATGATTCCAGCCTGGTCACTCCTATGAAAATGTTTTTTGCCTCGGCCACCGGTATCAGACAGAATACAAACGCTCTAAACAACTTCAGAAAATTTATTTGTGAAATAGTTTGAAAACCATTTGTAGCTTTCTTTCTACTAGATAAATACCCAACGCTTTATTGTAATCTATTACATGAGATAATAATAATAATAATAATAATAATAATATTAATAATTATTATTATTATTATTATTATTATTATTATTATTATTATTATTATTATTATTATTATTATTATTATAGTAAATGCTGAGGTTTGTGTTTGGTCTCATTTCAAAAACCAGGGTTGAAACATGACATAGCATGAAAAAGCGTAAGGAGAGTGAGTCCCTGAAGAGGACTTTTATGTTTCTATGTGGCTCACATGTAGTGGACTCACATATGAGACTGAAAGGATCAGAGCATCAGGAAGACCAGAAACTGACAGACTCAATAAGTGTTCACTTAAACCTGGTATCTGAGCACTTATTCACTATTTATATTCCATTTTTAATAACATTTATGCTGGTGTCTGTACATTTTTGCTGTTGTTTAAAAAAATAGTTTGTCTTTACACACATTTTGAATTTTTTATTTTTTTTTTTATTAACCTACCCAGTTGCACATTCCTTTGAACCAGATTCGCTTTTGTTTTGTTTGTTTGAAGAATTTTTTGGGGCCTTTATAAGATAGTAATCCGTCAGGAAGGGGGCAGACGTGCAGCAAAGGTGCCGAGGAAGAGAGTCAAACTCGCCTGCAGCCTCTGTAGCTCCAACTACTGCAGAGGCAAATCGTAACATGTCGTGAGAAAATAACTATTTGTTGAACTTTCATGCACAGTATTGATTTAATTAAAGATTTATCTCTCAAATTTTTAGTCTGCTGTTTTGTGCGAGAAGAAAAGTGTGAAGTTTTCAGCCTCAATATTCTGAAAGACAATGAAACGTCAGTGTATCCTCCCACGAGGCTCGCGCAGGTTGCAAATATGATTGCTTTTGGGGCTCACTAAATATTTGAAGCTCTTCACCAGCAAACAGTGGCGAATGTTCAGTTGCAGATGCTCCTGCTTTTTTTTTTATTTTATTTTCATTAAGCGTCTCGCTCCCATCTCGAAGCGCCGTCTGTTTATGAGCTAACATTAAACAGACCGGGGGGCTGTGAGGGGCGGGAGCTGCAAGGCGCAAAGAGTGGCAGCCTCTCTCAAATTTATGGAGTCTGCTTGGGAACGTAAAGTGCCTCATGCGCTGCTGAGCTAATTAGTTTTATATACTGGCACTAGCAGTTAGCTGAACACGAGTGGAGCATCGGTTCCCCCCCAACAGAGGGGAACTCATAGAGGAACAAGTAAAAGATGAGAGGCATCAAAATGAAATTAATACAATTGTACCAAAACATAAATTAAAGAAGGGGTTCTTGCACCAGAGTCACAATTTACTGTGGAATTTTTTTTCATTAGCTTTTTTTTTATATATATATATCAACAGAACGCAAATATATAGTTGTGTGGAGGTGGGGGGAAAATGAGGGCATCCTATTAAATATTTAGTGTTTAACTGAGGAATGTTCCCATATTGATGCGTAATCTCTATTTTTCCACCTCTGAAATAGAAAGTAATGAGTAAAACGAAAAGATTAAAACTTTGTTTTACTCATTAACATGAGATAAACAAAAAATGTATCTGTAAGCAAAAAATCTCAATCAAACAATCAGAACTTTGTGGTTGTTGCAAAAATGTAAAGTGAGTTTGAATACTTTTGCAAGGCACTTGTTTTACCTGCATTTCATTAAGTGCTGGGACTTGGTTAAAGTTAGTTGAGGGGTCTGTAATTAATCGCAGTTAATCACATTTTAATCAAAAACTACATATTGACAAAATAAGCGACGTCTTCCATTCAAAAACTCTTTTTGCTGTTAAATTATTGAATAAATAGACATGTGAGCTCAACTACAAAGATACGTCTTGTTCTTAATCTGTTATTTAAGTTATTCTACTATCAGATTAATGCAAATTGCCACTATATCCAGTCAGCTTTCAAGAGTTTCCCCTGATTATTCATGTAACTTCTTTCCAAAATACTTCTTTAAACTTGTGGACAGTGTGCAGACATTAGCGTTGGGGACGGACGTTGTTGCTTGATGAAATGTGTTTAGCATTGAGATACTATTTTAGGCTTGAATGGCTTCGCTGATTGACCAACTCACAAATTGCAGATAACAATAGTCTTTTCCAGTGTCCTATCAGATTGCTTTTTGAAGCAAAATCTAACCTCCGTTGTGCCAAGAGTGGCCGCTATATCCAGTCAGCTTTCACCTACAGTTATAGTTAGGCTTCAGACTTACGGACGGACCAGAAACACGCAAATACGATGTCTCCAAAGAAAATAGGGTTTAATTGTGTTTAAATCTACATAAAGTTTTGTCCCTAATCTTCTTTCCTTTTACCATGTAATATAGACATTTCATGCTCTTAAAAGTTACAGTTAAGGTTTATAAAGAAAGTAAGTAATAAATGTTCTGGAACATGTTTCAAGTGTCACATGTTTCAAGTAATAGACCAGCACAAAGAAGTGTATAATTGTAGGTGAAAGGAGGGAGTGCTGTGAAATACGGCAGTGGCAGGATCATGCTATGGGGACAGTTCTCTTCAGCGGGGAATTTGAACAGAGTAGTTGGGTGAGATGGACGGATTTAAACACAGGACACAGGAGATTCACCCGGACGTCATCAGCGAACATACAACCAGAGCTGCAGATTAAAATGTTCAGATCCAAACAAAAACGTATATTTCTCTCTCAGACTGGTCAAGTTGTGATGCATTTTGAAATAAAGCCGAGATATGTTACTATTTACAGTTAAAAGACATCATATGCTAAATATGCATTTGAATAGGTTGTCAGTTGCACATGCACAGAGAACATAAGTATGAATAAAATTACTCTATATGTTTTCAAAGAAATCAAGCCCCTTAAATCTTGTCTACATGCTGTGAACTTTGTGGCAGCCACGCTAACTCAGCAGTTTGGAGATGAGGATGCTTTGAGTTGGGCCTCGTATGATCCAAGCTTCTGCCTTTCCCTGATTTTTACTCAGTCTGCTTTCTCCCTCGCAGTTTCACCGTAATTAATGTGTGTTTTAAAGTCGTGCACAACCGTACACACACTGACTGTATTATTTTTGCCAAGAGATTCGTTGACTTTTCCAAGCGGATCAACCGAAAATGCGCATTGCTTATCAGCAAGACGTCAGCAAAATACGGTAAATACAAATGCGGTCTAACATCAGGAAATGTTCTGTTGCTGCAGTAATGCACTTCAAGTTTTTCTTTCTCTTTTCCCCTCACTGGTATTTCTGGCCTGGTGAGTCTGTGTTTGTTTGTGTCCTTTCCCTCTCACCCCACAGCTGCTTAGTGCAGATGGTCGTCCTTCCTGGAGTTTCATTATGACAGGGACAATGGATGATGCATAAACTCAGAACCCATTAATAAAATATTTTTCTCTTTATTTTTTTACCTCTTACTTCTAGACAACAGGGTCTGCAACCTGCGGCTGCAGGGCTGCATTTGACTCTTTTCACCAAAGGCGCTCTTAATAATTTTGTTCAAAGACTATCGAGGCTTTTTCTCTTTGCAACTAATGAGATAAACTTTTTTTTTTTAGTTCAATCATTTATTTATTTTTTTTCATAAGACTGTGTACAAGCGTTTCTTCATTTTCCATAAACATGGGACTTTCCGATCAATAAAACACATATGTTTATTTTGTTTTATTTAAATGGATTTACAATTTTATTTTATTTTTTAGCTAAATAAAAAACAACAGAAAATATTGTCTCTTGAATCTTGGATAACTATTCTGACCCGCCTTACTCATCTATATTCTGCTGAAATAAACAATATGTTTTCCCAGTTACTGGCCATCTGCGGGCGACTGGATAAATCTAAAGGTATCACTAACTGCATTTTAGAGCAAAACCCTTTAAGACACAACTAGAACCAAGCGCCATGCGATCACCTGGTGACCTGTCCGAGGCAAATCCCTCATAATGACTGTTGGACACAAACGCCAGCCCAGCCGTGACCCAAAGTGCTCAGGGTTTCCTACCTGCTTGGGAACCTGAGGCACCTCAGTTTACACAGGCCGGGTTTATAAATGCAAATGTTACATGTTAAGCTACATTGCAGCATATTTTTACTATTTGCGTTGAGATCAACTAATAAGAACCTTTTTTTTCTCTCTATGTACTTACTTGAGAAAATGTAAGTTACATTTTGCTGCGGCTCACCACACAGGGTGATACAGCTTCAAACTGGGGGCGCCACCCCACAAGCGACCCAGTGTTCATGTGCAAGTGACACAAGCGACCCAGTGTTTGTTCAGTGTAAAAACTCTGAAAAAATACTGCTTAGGGTATATTATGAAACTGAAGTTGGAGTCAGGTGTGCAAACATTCTACTGGGTAATAAATTAAAGGTGCATTTCACTGTTTTCTGGAATCTGGGCTACACTTGGTCATCTCAAGTTCTAAAATAATCAGATCCAACTTGATCTGGATCATTCTTCACAAAATGATTTTCTGAAACACACTTGGAAATCCATTAAGTCTATATTTAAAGCTTAATGCTTTAAAAAAAAAGTATTATCAAAAAAGTAAAAGTAGTATATAAATAGCACTATACAACCCATTTTTTACCAGCGGTCCTTTTGTACATCAAAACAGTTGGATATTTTGTCCAGCTAATCATATATCTGAGGCCAGATCTTGGTTTCCCCAAAACCATCCTGTTCTTAATTAATGCTAAAACAAGTTCTTCAAATGACCAGGCTGCAACACAGATTCTGCTGGAAACTAGATCAATTTGTGCCACAGGCCTCGGATGCAACCAGCTAATGTTCTGTGGCATTTAAAGAAACTAAAGAACCAGATCCCATTTCAATTTGCATAATTTTACTTATTCAGTAAGTAAACAGGCAAAATACATGTGATCATTTCAGTGGTAATATAGCAGATTTCACTATAGAAAGGACACCAAATATCTTCCTTTGCCAGATCTCATAAAGCAGAACCCAATTTGGGTGTTGAATAAATAATTTAACGATGTCGCCGCTTTTTCCACATTTCAGGAAATCAATCCTGCAGGGATATTTAGGGTTAGGATGAGACAGGGTGCAAATTAAAACTGCTGGCCTTGTCGAATTAAGACATTTTCACTACGCAAATTCGCCGCCTCTTTTTACGACCTAAAGGAGAACTTGATAGACTTTCTGCATTTTACATTGTGCCAAATAAAATAATTAGCACGCATTTAGTCATTCAGAAGCCACCAGTGCACGGAAAACAAATTACTCCCGTAAACTGTTTCCCATTTTAAGTGAGCGTGATGCGTTGGCTTCGATTGAGTGGGAGACTTTTAGAGGCACTGAGACGTGGCTGTACCAACTCACCCTGAAGCCTTTCGCAGAGATCGGGGCTTTGTAGAGGCAGTTCATGCGGTCGGAGCAACATGAGCAAATCCCCGTGTTATTGGGACGTGTTCTCTCTGGTATGGTAGCAGGGATTTATCTGCTGACTCAGCCTCTCATACAGATTAGCCGGGACAGGAGAGTCACCGAGGTGCATGTTTAAAGGACAAGTTTGACAGACCAGGATGATCAACACTAAATGGCTGGGATAAAAGCCTCTGGAATCACATCCTGCGGCCAGGTTTTATGTACAGCATGTGCATGAAAGCAAAGCGCACACTTCCTTGCTTGCTTCTCTCTGGTTTTGGTGAGAAATAAATTACAATGTCATTAACAATGTGTCAGAAGGCTCCATAAGGATGAAACCTCCAAATACAACACCGTTTGGGGAATTGGTAAACAGCTAACATCTGAATATGTAACATCCAAATGTCTTGTGGAGACAAGTTTTATGGTCGAGTAAAAGAAACGCTGAGGAAAAATACAAAAGTGAACTTTTATGGAGCAGCCAACAGTTCCCGGTATGTTCTGTATGATATCTTAATGGCATGTCACAAATAGAGTGAAATTACAGAAACATTTTGTTCTACCCAAGTGACTCTTTTGCTACAGATGTTTGTTTCCACATTTTGATGCAGCCATAATTAGCTGTGTTACATTTGGATCGACCATAGTTCATTATGAAGAAGGAAAGCTTCAGTTCAAATCAATAGTTGGACTATTTGGTGTATCAACAGGATAAAGAGCCAAGAAAGAGTTGTTGAAAGTTTGCTCTGTGCAACTATTTTGACACATATTTGCTTCTATAATTTAGATTCTGTGTGCATTAGAAGATCTGCAATAAATTCCATCTTTTGTACCCAATCCTGTTTTTTTTTTTTGTTGTTGTTGTTTTTGTTTTAGGTGTTGTTGGGTCTGGTGGTATTTATTTGAAAGTGATCAGACAGGCAAGTGGGCAAAGAGAGAAGGGGAAGACACACGGTAAATGCCACCAGGTCGGGACTCGAACCTGCGCTACTACAGCACCCTCTGCTTTATTACATACGCCATTAAAGCTCTGAATAAAAACAGCCTTCATGCCATGAATTTCTGTTAAGTTCTCACACTGTTCACTTCAGCACTGCAATCATGTTACTGTGTGTTAAGTGACATCTGGCGCAAGCCTGTCCTACTTAAAGTTTTTAGATTCACTAACCAGGTTCTGCCTGCGTCTTAGTGTTGAGCGACCAGCTGCAACCAGTCCACTTATTAAAAGGAGTGCAGACTCAACACTTTGAATTACTACTGCACATGAGAGCTCTAGTAGATAAACTCCTGAGAGAAACTACGTTATTCTGTAACTGCAAGGATAAAGGGTTGGGGAAAGTGGTGGTTATTAATTAAGTTATACTGTAAGAAGAGTTGGAACATGGGAGTTTCAAAGATTTTGTGTTTCATTTCTTGGTTTGCTTTCTTGTCTGCCAAGCACAGCTGTAAGTAATCATTACTGAAATCTCTCCTGCTTAATATTGAACTGTTTGACATATGAGGATAAGAGGAAATGCATCCTAATAAAATGACTAATTGTTCCCCATACACACACAAAAAGAAACACTACTACCATGTCAGTTCAGTTTGTGCTTATGTAAGTTTGAGAGAAGATAGCAGAAACATGATGGGATTACTTCATATGTGTGACTGAAATCAGCTCTGAGCAGGCTTCCTTTCTTTTCTATCTGGCCAACTTCTGTGTGCAAGTATCTCCATGGAGTTAGCTCAGCATTTTCCATGCAAGAACAAAACAAATCCATTGTGCTCATAGTTATTGAGTTTGTTTAGAATAGTGAGTAAATACCAGGAGTTTCTCTGTTTTCAAACTGTTCTCTGGATTCCCAGCTTGTGTGTAGCTCTGAGCTGAAGTTGGGATTCCCATGGAATTTGTTAGCAAAATAATTAACTACCCTTATTGGCTAATTAAAAAATTAGCCACATGATGATGGCATCTTGCTTCATTGAGGTAAAATTGGCTACAAAGCTAAAGCTAGCAAAAATACTACAGATAGTATGTAGACTGTTAGAAGCATGTTGGCCTACTGTAACATACTCAGTTTTAGCTTTTATTAGCATATTAGCTAAACTGCTATTAACAGCATAGCAGTTTATGCTATGCAATATCATGATTGCCCACACACTATCACTTTGTTCATTAAAGTTTTTAGGTCAAAATTAGCTAAAAGACTCATGATAGATAAAATGTTCTCTGTAGCATGTAGCCTATCATTACTATCACATTACTTTTTCAGCTTTTAAGAGACTCAAAATTTAGATGGATTTTCCCTGCAAAATATTTCCACCTCAGTCAGACATGATGCAGAGTCTCTGTGAACATTGATTTTTTTTTTTTAAGCCTTGTCACAGATTCCAAAATGGATTTAGGCATGGACTTTGACTGGGCCATTCAAGTACATTAATAGGCTCAAATCTTTACTAATCGATGCTAGATTTGGGTGTACGTTAGGCTCTGCCGCAGACCCATGTTTTCTAATAGGCTTTTCTTCCAGGATTGTTCAACATTTAGCGCCATTCATCTTCCCATCAACTATGACCAGCTGTCCTGTTACACGCCCCAGGGCATGAAGCTGCCACCACCATGTTCCACTGATGAGATTGTGTGAGGACAGGACACAGTGTTAGTTTGCTTCAGCTAAAACCTTCCACTTTGGTTTCACTTGACCAGATCATTTTCTTCTATCTGTGCCTCATATGGTGTTCTTTCAACACCATATTTTTCCACATGAGCAACTCCTCTAGAGATACTATGAGCTATGAAGGGGATGGTCATGTCTTGGTAGGTCTGCTGTTAATCATTTTCAGTTGTCAAATATTCAAAACCTACGGTATTTATTATTTTTGTAAT